GGGAATTTTCAGTCTTTTACAACTTTTACTCTATTAGTCAAAATCTATCTAGCCTGAATATTTTCTACATTTTAGTACAACCGTTCTTGAGAAAATCGGGAAAGGAGAGAGCATGATCTTAAAAGTAAAATATCATAATTTTCTTTTCTTCGTCTAGTATTTGCTGATGATAAAAATAAATTCATTGATTTAAATAAAAAATTTCAACGAGAAATAATTTCTTTTGATTATATAATGAAATTGTAAATAATATCAATGATAATTTATTTATATATGTTTTTTCCTACCATGTTTAGAATAATAAAAAAACAGATACATATACATGTCGTATCGAAGTTAATTGTAATCCACTTATTAACAAATATTTTACGAGAATGAGTGTCCTTTGACTGAATACATGATCAAAACAAATTTTTTTTTTACTAATAAATACTGTTTATTCAACAATAGAACCTCTTTATAAATCACAAGGAAAATATGGAAGATAAAACGGAATCAATAGTACAAATTCTAGTAGAAGTATAGCTGTTATTGTCCATATGTTTTTGAAGTTGAGACAAAAATGAAAATTACTAGTCGTAACGGAATGAACGAATCGAAGTAAGCAAGCAAGAATAATGAATTATTTATTGCTGATTTCGTCCATTCAAACGAAAATGAAATGGTTGAGCGTGGTTAAGCTAAGATAACTCAGAAACTCGCATGAATTACGATATGTTTATGATGATGATATTGTTCTTTTATATGTTGTATGTGTGAATTTTTTTGTTGACTAACATGTGTTTCTTTGCAATGCAAATAATATTGCCATTTAGTTGAGATGACTTTAAGTGAAAAGGATAAAATGAAATGAAAAATATTAATAAATGAATTGTAGATTTCTACATTGGGTGTTACATTAATCAGATACTAAGTCCGTTTTTCTTTTTTATCGTCAATTAGACGATGGCAAACAGGATCATGTAAAAGAGAGACAGATGTACATAATAGAAAACAAAATACAACTACTTTTACCATTTGTCTACTTTTCGTCAAGTTAAAATTAATATCAAAAATGTCGATAAAAAGTGGTTCAATAACGATACAGGCAAGAGATCAATCAGTAATGGCTAATGAAAATTGAAAAATAAATTTAGTTAAAATGCAATTAATTAAGAGAAAACCATACAAAGTGATCGTAGACATTTAAGAAAGAATTAGAAAACATGATTTTAAATTTAAATCAGAGATGTTTAAAATTGATGTTGTAGATGATACAAGAAGTTAAAATGGTTGTTTTTCTTGAAACGAATTAGTATGAAAAGATAAAGGGTACACATGTAATGTTTCAATAGCTTTTTTATCTTTCTTTTTTTTCTCTCTCGCGTGTTCTTCCTTTTTCTTTCCTTTCGTATTAATTCTGTTTCTTTTTTCGTTTTTCAATATTTTTTTTTCATTTACTTTATTAATATTCTCACATGCGTGAGCTAATATTCATTATACTTATATTCAAGGCAATTTGTGAAATGCTTTAGATTAATGATGTTACTTCTGCCATAAATGTTTTTATATGTTTGTCCACTGTCATGTAAGTAGTTTCGAGTATCACATCCTCTAGCATAATTTAAAAAGATAGGTTAGTAGATAGTATAGTGCATGTTCTCCTGAATATTCAACTAAATTTTTATCATCATTCACTCATCTGCGTGAATGACAGAAGATCGAGTAAGCAAAACGACAGTAATATTTGTATGACGCATATATAATATATGATTGATATCTCGTCCTCTATTTAGCCAAATATAGACGTTTGTGCATAATAAACAAATATATTTTGTGATATAAATATAGTAATTTACACTCAAAAATCCGATCTATTTCGCAATGTAAATATAAGAATTTATACTCCAAAATCAGGCTATTTCGTGTTATACATACACAGTATATTGCCCCGTTCTCATACAAAAGAAACAGTCAATTGATTGCAGTTTTACTGTGATCTTGAACACAAGATTTCATACTAATTCAACAAGTAAGTGTATGCCTCTCGATGTTACAAGGTAGTCCAGTAAAATGTTAAAATAGGTCTTGCAAATCTCTCAGGAGATCTTAAGGAATGTTACTCAATGGAGAGATGTAAAAATTAAATTCAATGAATTCTAAAGAATTTCAATCTACATAAATTAAATATAAATTTAAATTCAAAATAACTTAACAGGACATTGATACTCATATGGTTAAGCTAACATTAACATAAAATTAGATTTTTCAAAAATAATATCTGAATCTGATTAAGTTTTTACTTAAGACCGACCAAAATTTCTGTCATCGTAAAATAAAAATACATAGATAAAGGGATATTTCTAATTGTATTTGATCCATTAATGACAATTGTTGTTATGATTATCTATACTAACGTCACCTTTTCCCAATAGTTTCTTGGAAGTTTTTTCGAACTTTTTTTTAAAGTTTTTAGTTACCTTGGAAACCACACGAAGCATGAACTTTTCATTAAATTAATCAGTTAAATTTTGTCCGATAAAGTTATTGAACCCAAAACTATATAGTATTACGTATGACTAATAAAGCTGCTTCTACATTCAATTGGGTATGAGTGTGAGTGAAGACTATTTGCACGTAACACCCGCATTCGTATCTATACAAACACATCCACATTGTGGAAAGTGAGACGACTCGTGATATTTGATCCATTACTCTTTTACTTTAACAGTCATGATCTAGAAGAATAAGCATTGATATACGTATGTATAACTGCCATATGCTTCAAAATTACGTCCAATTTTTGTGAGAGATATGTATCAAGTATTTTCAAAATGAACATTTTTCTTAGATTCAAAACAGTGTCTGAACTTCAGTTATCTTGTCACATTAAAGGAAATCAATGGATTCAAATTTTGAAAATTTCTAGAGAAGTCGATCAGAATCTACCCTTTTGAACAATGCAAAATCGGTTAATTGAACAAAGGGTAACATTCTTCAGTAAAATGACATTTTTTTCAGATTATTAATCATAAACTAGCAGCAACAACCCATCCAACTAGTTTAAGACTACCAAAAAAGCTTAATTTGATTTTATGCGAATTTCTTTGCTATTTTGCCTGTCAGAAAAAATTCTATCTTACCCTAGATGCATCATTTTACGATAATTTCTACAAGATATTTACAAAAACGGTATAAACTTTTACTAAATATGCAAACCATTACTAAACTCGATTCTTATGATTTTCACCTTTTCGAAATTTCCTATGCCTACTGTTGGAGAAATGAATCCGTTCTATATGATTTTTCGAAAATAATTGAAAAAATCGATCATTCACGACCGAGCTTTTTGGAAACCGCAAAGGCATTTCCACAAAACTTTATTAAACTTTCTTTCCATAGTTAAATACACAACTGAAATTCTAACACTTGATGTTGTACAAATGTTTCGCATTGCATGTGAACATAATTTGAGCAAACTGGATCTCGGTACACAAATTTTTCTCTAAGTGATCCTAAAGCAGCCGCGAAATCTTTAAGTACTCTTAGCTCACAAGCATATATCTTCGTTGAGATATACAATGTTCTTATTGCCAACAAGCGTTGACAATCGTCTTTTTCAGAGTTTTTGATCAACCAAATAGGCTTTTTTCGAGTGCACGAAATAGAAGTCTACTGCACGTGTTCTTCTACCCTCTCCTAATGAAATACCAGACAGTCTGAAGCTTTACTAGGAAGATTTCCAACATCCTTTATTTTGCAGAATAAACCTATAGAATCTTGAATCCATATTTGTCGACATAAAACTTACATAGAATTCAAACAAAAACTAGGGAATCTAAACAATCAGAGATGTTTCCACAAACTCGTAAAAATGCCTCTTTTTCAGTTAGGCAAGATACTGGCTATATCTAAAGTCTTCTTTTAGACCTTGAAATACTTCAAGCAACAATCATTTGATGACAGCAGGACTACATGCAGGTCCAGTAATCAAATTATTTCACCAGAGACAAGCACAATGGCATTGGAAATCGAATCCAACTGCAAGGTCGAAAAATGAAAAAGAAGAATGGACACAATTCTCTGATATCGAATCAGAAATTATTGAAGAAGCATTGAATGAAAATCGTAAAACAAAATTGGTAGAATTAGACGATTATTGGATTGATTTGAATCGCTCCATTCAAATTAGTAAATGTGATCAAAATCAACAAACTCCAATAAAGCGTATACCGATGAGCAGAGATAAAAATTCTGTTCTAAGGGAAGAGAGATTTTTTCTTCCACTAACAGTCGGCAAACCATTCAATGAGTGGACACATGGGGGTTATTGGTTTATTCAGAAATGGCTGGAAAAACAACGAGGCAATATTTCCAACAACTATATAATACAACAAGCAGTGAATGGAATAATTATCGAAGGAACTCAAATAAACAAATTATGTGAAGCACAATGGATTGCACGACAATTATTAGCAGTTGAAAATAACGATGCAATAGATATACATGAATGTTCTATTCACCTATATACGATGAATTCTTTTCTATACAAACTAGTCAACGAAACATTGAGAGAAAATGATAAGACCAAAATAGACACTCTTGGTCCATACTGCTACCTTTTATACTATTCCTGGTACGGAGTTAACATTAAAACAACAACAACTGAAGTATATCGTGGTGCACAACTCAATTCACATATGATTGAGTATTATAAAAAAGCAGTTGGCACAAAGAGATGTTGGTTTGGCTTTACCTCCACGAGTAGAAATAAGAGCGTGGCCGAAATGTTTGGAAACACAATATTTATCATCGATATGTCATTTGCCAGTGGATTGGATATCTGCTCATATTCACAATTCCCAGACGAAGAAGAAGTGCTACTACCGGCTGGAACAAAGTTTCTAATCCAGAAGATTGAATACGAAGACACACAAGAAAAATACAGTATACATATAAAGCTTCTCGCAAAAAACAATATCCTACACCAGCAACTTGAGACAATTGATTCCATCACAACAATGCAACTAGCAAACACCGAACTTGATTATCTGGACATAGAAATACTGTTAAAACAAATCGAAATCAATCGGAGTCTTACTAATATTGATCTTTCCCACAATCGAATACGTGAAGAAGCCGCTAAAGCCTTGGCGGATGTATTAAAATCCAACAAAACTATTATTAATCTTCAACTTGTCTCGAACCAAATATATGACAAAGGAGCTGAAGCATTGGGGAATGCATTAAAAGTCAATAAAACTTTGACAACTCTTAATCTTGGAGACAACGGAATATCTGTCAATGGAGCTGATGCATTGGGTGATGCGCTGAAAGAAAATCATACTCTTACTAATCTTAATCTTGCATACAACCGAATATCTCACGAAGGAATTGAAGCAATCATGAATGCGTTAAAAGTCAATCATACTCTTACTATTCTTAATCTTGCACTCAACGAAATATCTGACAGAGGAGCAGAAGCATTCGCTGATGCATTGAAGGTCAATCGAGCACTTATTAACCTTGATCTGCATCGAAACCGCATCACCGAAAAAGGAGCTGAAGCTCTCGCTGATGGATTAAAAGTAAATCAAACTCTCACTACTATTAATCTTAGCTACAACAGAATATTTGATCCAGGAGCCAAAATACTGGCTGATGCATTAAAAGCTAACCAAACTCTTAATACTATTTACCTTAAGTCCAACATTATATCTGATAAAGAAGCTCACGCGCTCTCAGATATGTTGACTGTCAATCAAACTCTTACTACTCTTCATCTTGGAGAAAACCAAATATCCGACAAAGGAGCTGAGGCACTCGCTGATGCATTGAAAACTAATCAAACTCTTACTACGCTTCATCTCCACACGAATCAAATATCTGACAAAGCAGCTGAAGTACTGTCAGACAAACCAAAAGTCAATCAAATTCGTACAACTGTTACCCTTAGAGATGACCAAATGTTTGAAAATGAAGCTAAGGCATTTGCGGATGCATTTCGACACGATCCAACAATTACTTCTCTTCATCTTGCAGATGACTCAATGTTGGACTTTGGGATTCAAGCACTCGCTGAAGCGTTAGGAGTCCGTCCAACTCCTACTGTACCTAACTTTCCGTCGGACCGAATTTCAGACATACAAAATGAATTCTTTGCGGACAAATTGGAAGCCCATAAAATTCTGACTACTCTTAATCTTGAACATAACGAAATATCTGATAAAGAAGTCCAAGCAATCGCAGATACATTAGAAGTCAATAAAACACTTACTACCCTCAATCTTGCACGCAACCAAATATATAACAAAGGCGCACAAGCACTCGCCATTGCATTGAAACGCAATCAAACTCTTACTACTCTTGATCTTGCACACAACCAAATATCTAACAAAGGCACTGAAGCACTGGCTGATGCATTGAAAATCAATCGAACTCTTACTACCCTTAACCTTAGTTGCAACAGCATATTCGAAAGAGGAGCCGAAGCACTCGCGAATGCATTGGAAGTCAATTCACTTCGTACTAGTCTTGATCTTGGACACAACGAAATATCCGACAAAGGAGCTCAAGCAATCGCGGATACACTGAAAGTCAATCAAACTCTTAGTACTCTTAATCTTGCACGCAACGAAATATCTGACAAAGGAGCTAAAGCACTCGCTATTGCATTGAAAGTCACTCAAAAACTTACTTTTCTTGACCTTCAGAACAATCATATATCTCACAAAGCAATTCAAGCATTCGGTGATACATTGAAAGTCAATCAAACTCTCACTATTCTTGACCTTGCCACGGACCAAATATTTGAGAAAGGAGCAGAAACAATCGGGATGGCATTGAAAGTCAATCAAACTCTTATTACTCTTGACCTCAGCTCAAACAACATACTAGACAAAGGAGCTGAAGCACTTTCCGATACACTGAAAGTGAATAAAACTCTTACTACTCTTCGTCTTTGGTACAACCAAATATCCGAGAAAGGAGCTCAAGCACTTGCTGATGCATTGAAAGTCAATAAAACTCTTACTACTCTTGATCTTTCATTGAACAAAACATCTGACAAAGGAGTTGAAGCAATTGCAGATACTTTAAAAATCAATGCAGTTCTTACTACTCTTAGTCTTTCGAGCAATCAAATATCTGAAAAAGGAGGTGAGTTACTAGCTGATGCATTAAAAGTTAATGAAACTCTTACTTCTCTGGATCTTAAATGTAACAAAATATCCGACAAAGGAGCTGACGCACTTGCAGATGCATTGAATGTTAACAAAACGCTGACTACTCTTAACCTTCTATTCAACAAAATATATGACAAAGGAGCTGAAGCAATCGCAGATACATTGAAAATCAATCAAACGCTCACTACTCTTGATCTTGCAGAAAACCAAATATCTGACAAAGGAGCTAAAGCACTGGCTGATGCATTGAAGACCAATCGAACTCTTACCGCTCTTAATCTAGACGGAAATCAAATAACTGAGAAAGGAATTAATGCACTGTCTAACGCATCGAAATTCCATCAAACTGTTACTACCCTCTGTATTTCGCAAAATCAAATATTTGAGAAAGAAGCTGAAGTTCTCGCGAATACATTGAAAGTCCATGAAACTCTTACTACTCTTAATCTTGAACACAACCAAATATATGACAAAGGGGCTGAAGCAATCGCGGACGCATTGAAAGTTAATGAAACTCTTACTACTCTTTGTCTTAAAGACAACCAAATATTTGAGAAGGGAGCTGAAGCCCTCGCTGACGCATTAAAAGTTAATCAAACGCTTAGTACTCTTTGCCTTTGGTACAATGAAATATCTGACAAAGGAGTTGAAGCTATCGCAGATGCATTGAAAGTCAATCAAACTCTTGCGACTCTTGATCTTTCACAGAACCAAATATCTGACAAAGGCGTCCAAGCACTTGCCGATGCATTGAAAGTCAATGAAACTCTTACTACTCTTAATCTTGAATATCTGCTAATATCTGACAAAGGAACTGAAGCAATTGCTGACGCATTGAAAGTTAATCAAAGTCTTACTAGTCTTGAGCTTAAATGGAATCAAATATCTGACAAAGGAGCTGAAGCATTCTCAGATACATTGAAAGTCAATCAAACTCTTACTAATCTTAATCTTGGAAATAACATTATATCTGAGAAGGGAGCTGAAGCACTTGCCGATGCATTGAAAGTTAATCACACTCTTACTACTCTCTATCTAGACGGAAATCAAATATCGGAGAAAGGAGCTGTAGCACTTGCGAATGCATTGAAAGTCAATCAAACTATCACTAGTCTTAATCTTGCAAACAACTCGATGTTGGACTATGAGATTGAAGCCCTTGCTGATGCACTGGAATTCAATCACACTCTTACTACTCTTCATCTGAACGGGAATCAAGTTTCTGACAAAGGAGCTGTAGCACTTGCTGATGCATTGAAAGTTAATGAAACTCTGACTGCACTTTACCTGAGTTTGAACCAAATATCTAACAAAGGGGCTCATGCGTTCGCTGATGCATTGCAAGTCAATCAAGCTCTCACGATTCTTAATCTTGATGGGAACAAAATTTCTATGAAAGAAGAGGAAGCACTGGTTGATGCGTTGAAAGCAAGGGAAAGAAACGTCTCACTTCATTAGTTTGCATAGTGCCTTTTACTTATGTGTTCTTTTATTTAATTTATATGCTTCTGTCTAGTTTAAATTAGTTCATGGTAGTTCGTGGAGATTAGGAATGTCACATATTTTTTCATACTTTGTTTGATAATTTTTCATGAAGGTGTGGATCGTAGCCTTCTCTTCAACAACACCAAAACCCACGCCCCGATAATAGTGGAAAAAACATCAACGTAATTTAGTTTCAAAACTTCTTTTGTCCTATCTTTCAACAAGTCTTTTTTCATAACTATCATTATTCCAGACTGTCATCATAATGTTCTATACTATCAATCTTTTTTCCCAATCCATCATTTCTTTACAAAATGTTTCTTTCATTTGGCATGGAAATGACTTATTTCATCAATGAACAAATTTAATTGGATAATAATTTTGTTTGGTTTTATTTTTGGAGTTTTTGAATAGATAGGACTACCACATTGTCTACAGAAATGATGTTGAGTTACATCGTCTGCTTTTGTATCTGTATCGTCATATTTTGTCAATAAGAATTTGTCATCTAATAAAACAACTTTATCCTCAGATAATATAATTTCTTATGATGCCAGTCCACCTCCAGCACGATGACAATTTTTACAATGACATAGTATGATTTCACGTGAGTTGTTGCTCAGAGATTCACGACTATTTTTTGATTTTGATTTCACCACAGAGACAACGACCGGTTAGTTCATTAGATGATGACGATGACATAGCAGTGATAATCATAGAAGAAGAAATATGTTATTCTATATAAATGATACAATGCAATTGAGAGACGGCGAAAATATCATATACAGTACTTGTCAGAAGTTCCTGGACATGGCAAAATCCAGGTAAAGCTGAACCGTTTTCCACGAAATTTTTACCAGAGATAGAGCTCGAAAAACTGTGGGTGGGTGTGGGTGTGAGTGTGGGTGTGAGTGTGGATGGGGTTTTAGTAATAAAATATCAGTGCCACATCACATTTCCATACCCACAACCCACCTACTCACACCCACCCACACCCACACCCACACC